AAATGATCGAGATAAATACCAAGAACGGTATTAGAGAAAAATTATATGTCAAAAAGAAAAAAAATCAAAAAGTTTAAGAAGATTTCATGGGGAGACTATAATTTATGAACAACCTTTGAACGATGCTAGAGTTACTTTGAGAGTGCCCACCTAATAAAAAAATGAGGATTATAAAACAGTTTAAAGAATAAGGATTATGATTTAAATTTGATGGTTAAGATTAGGAATTAGATTTAGGGTTTTCATCACGAACTGACATTAACTATAATGCCAAAACGCTATTTAGCCAAATAAATAATAGAATGTTGCGCTAAAATCCGAGACCTGTTATCTTATACCTGATTGGTTCATCCATAAATTATAGTCTCGCCGAATTTATGATTCTGGAACTAAGAGAAGATAAGAATTAAATGTACCAGTGTAGTAGTAGATGATTTATGTTATATCAGCCAAAGTTTCAAACCATTCATTAAAATATTAGCGCAAAACGTAATCTGATAATCCTCATTTAAATCTACTTGGTTCAATTCAACTATTTATGACTTCATGAACTGATGTAATGTTTTGACCCAATACCCTATAGCTTTCTTTTAACCTACGCCAACATTAAATAATATTACTTATAGAGATGGACGGTTGATAAGTACATGTAAATGAATGTCATCTGAAAAACAGAGAGTGATTTTCCTTACATATCAGGAAATTAGAGAGTATTGTGATAGAATGAAAAAGAAAAGATTTCGTATATATATATATATAAACAAAGGAATAAAGTGTCTCATAGGAAAACAATACCAGGTGTTTTACATCAACATAAACAACTACAGATGATTATTTCATAGAAAAAGTATGAAAAGAAATGAATATGAAAGATAGGCATATATATATATATATATATATATATATATATATATATATATATATATATATATATATATATATATATATATATGCGCATGAAAAGATGTATATCCACAAAGAAATCAGAAATCAATCGTTAGAGAAAGTAAACGAGATTTATAACACTTTGTTTTAGAAGTTATTCAAATAACAGATACACATGTATATAATGAGACAAACAATTCTATAGTGCTAATAATGTTAGATATAAAATGAACTGTTTTATTTCGAGTATTAGGTTTAAGGACAATATAAACTATTTACTTGGTAACTTACTAAGCAATATTTTCATTTAAAAAAGGACTGTATTGATTGTTCGAGAAAACAGTCAATTTTAATAATCATTATAAAGAATTTTAATGATTGATAAACAATTATAAGTTTTATAGGCAAAGATGTATAGTGGCTAGCAGTGGAATCAATTTCAGTCCTAAAACATCAATGGGAAGATTCAACTAAAACGATATCAAGTGAATTAAACTTCACCCCATCGCACAAGCAAGTGGCTATCAGGACTCAGTAGCTAAGTGGATAACGCGATCGCGTTTGAAGCGAACGGTACTGAGTTCGAGTCCCAGAGTGAACATCAACTCTGAGATGCAGGTACATCTAGCTGACGAGTCCCAAACGGGACGAAACGCGCGTCCTGGATTCCACTGCTAGCCACTATCCATCTTTGCTTATAATGCTTGTAAATTAAGGCAATATCGAGGCATACGCACAGTATGCACATATACGAACAAGAGACTGATCAATTTCAGTCCTAAATCATCAATGGGAAGATTCAAGTAAAACAATATCAAGTGAATTACAAGTTCTGTTTGATGTTTTAGTAATAGTACAAATATGTACATTCTGAGTTGTGGAATAATGGAAGGTCTAAAATTGAAGTACTCAGTCATTTCAATCGGATGGTATACTACTTTATCTTGGTAATGTAAGTTTACAGATGGAGATAGTCGACAGGAAGATCTGCTTGGCCTAGGTTTAGTGTTGACACTCGTCAGCAAGGTGTATCAGTAGTCTTGATAGGACTGGTACTACCTGACGGATTCGATTCCGTGTCACGCAGTTTCACAGTCAGAGACGTTACCACTGAGCTATCACAATCATGAGTGAATTCTTGAAGGAATAAGATGTATTTACAAATGATTGATCACTGGATAGTGACCAGTGTCATGTGTGTTAGGTCCTTCTCGATAATAATTTTGAGAATTTCAAAATTGTACAAATATGATAATATATTCCTTAATAATGGTTACGCTTGAGAAGTTAACAACCAAATATTATGTCATTTGAACTAAATAATATAAGTGATGTCAGATTAGAAATTGACATTACACATCTTATGCAACTATAGAATTATGAATAATTGACTTCTTCAATAAAAACCTTGTTGGTAAGAAATATTCATGTGATGACAGATTCGTTTGTCAATAACTGAGCATACTACTTTGGTGTGTGCTGCATATATCGACGTAAGTAGTATATAACGTCAGTCAGGAACAAAATGTCTGGCAGCAGAGAGACAAGAAGATCAAACAGTAAAGAATGGAAACAGCATGCAATTCGTATGAAAATGCAAGAACAATGAAGTCTGAGTCATTTTGAGACAATTGATGGACATTTTGCAAACTAAGCATTTACTATATGATTCTTAGATTTTAATGAGATGCTCTGTAATTTTATGCTCAAAGACAGTCGATTGTCCCCCACTCGTGTTCTTGTTCACTACACTACATGGACTGCAGTTAATTGGTAACAAAAAATTGAACTTTTCAAGCTGATACGGTCAAATTTTGAAAAAAGAACAACTTTGATTAAGTATGCTAGTGATGATTTTCCTTTCGAAATATGTGGTAACCGAATCTCAGTTGAAGAATAAATGTTAGGATGTATTACAAATCACGAGATCATGGTTCGACTCAGTATGATATTTGTTCAATTGAATATTAGTTTTGTTTGAAGGGCAATATATTGGTTAACATAAAACTTTATTTAAATATGACATTTTTTCAGTATAATATTCTATGTATCAATTCAATGTGAATTTTATTTTGGTATTTACCGTTAGTTGTGAAATTCGGTAATTAATCATTTAATGTCAGTAAAATTGATGTATAAATGAGTACGTTTGCTTAAAATCGTATTTTTGAAAGATCAGTTGTCAGTTTTTGTCTTTTTATTTTGGTGTCATGTTAATCGCTATTTCTACTTTTCCAAGTAAGAGTTTTACACAGTGACATGAAATATGAAAGAAGGAAATAGGCAGATGGGATCTATATTTATATTGAGAAGTTACAATGCGTTTACAAAATACATGTATACAAAGCCTTCAATCATCCATTTGCATGTTTTGGTGTGTTCTGCAATCTGAACAATTTAGACATTTGGTCTCCAAATATTCTGTCAACGCCGTGCCGAAACTGTTCATTCTTTCCAACAACTTCAAGGCCACATTTCAGAACATACTACTTACAAGCAATGTTGTGAGTAGTGTCTGCTGTAGCCGAAAAATATTAAATTATGGGTACTTTGTAGGAACTATTATATATATATTCTTATTGTAAAACTACTAGGTAACTAGATTATACATATATTTATATTTCTCTTAATATAAGATTTTATTTGACCTATTGGCTATTATTATTCGATTTACTAATCATAAGTTACCCTCAATCTATCTCACACTCACAGCCAATTTTGACTTGATCTTGTATAGTTGTTATTTCCTATTTTATAGTATGATGCAGCCTGACTCGCTTGTATATAAATGACGTACGTCTGAAACATCTGATTCACACAGAGGAAGCTGAGATTTGTGTTCTGAACTCAGCGGGCAGGGCAAGGCAAGAAGGACGAATAAGGAGTCAGAAATTCACTCTAGGCTGTTCATACTGGTCAACGTGTCGTTGCTTTGGTACAATTAAAAGGACATATAAGTCGGTATTGTAATTGACAATCTAATCACAGGATAATAAACAAGTCCATTGAGAACATAACAGCATCCACTACATAACAACAAATCTCCTCAGCTCAAACATTAACAATATAGTACCTCGCATCTGACACTAATTTGCCACAATTGATGTCTATATATAGGAAAGAAATTAATAGAATGAGAACATAGAATGAAAACTAATGCCAGAAGGTACACATTTCATAAATTTTTCAAACTATCTTTAATAATGATGAAGAAAGTTAGGTTTAAGTTCTCGTTATTTAATCAGTCGAATCCAAACTTTAGACAACAAATACTATACAATGAGAAGATAAACTGAAATGTTCACTCGTTACGAGCACTAGGTGTTACTTTTTCAATTGTTATTCAAACATACTGATATATATATATATATATATATATATATATATATATATATATATATATATATATATATAGATGAACATGGTGGATCTGATGCAGATGTGAAGGCGCGGATCGGAAAAGTAAGAGCAGCATCTTCACAACTGAAGAACATCTCGGACTCTAAGAAACTGTCAACCAACACCAAGGTCGGAATTTTCAATACAAATGTCAAGACAGTTCTACTGTATGGGGCAGAAACTTGGAGAACTACGAAAGTCATCATCCAGAAAATACAGGTGTTTATTAACAGTTGTCTACGCAAAATACTTTGGATCCATTGGCCAGACACTATCAGAAACAACCAACTGTGTGAGAGAACAAATCAGATCTCAAAGGAGGAAGAAATCAGGAAGAAGCGATGGAGGTGGATAGGACACACACTGAAGAAAGCACCCAACTGCGTCACAAGACAAGCCCTCACATGGAATCCTCAAGGCCAAAGGAAAAGAGGAAGACCGAAGAACACATGACGCTGGGAAATGGAAATAGACATGAAAAAAATGAACAAGAATTGGATGGAACTAGAAAGGAAGTCCCAGGATAGATTGGGTTGGAAAATGCTGGTCGGTGGCCTATGCTCCATTGGGAGTAACAGGCGTAAGTATATATATATTGAAAGAGATTTACACAAGATTAAAGCACAATAGGTATAATATAACTTTATTAATAATAATAAGTCATATAAAAATATAAAAAGATCTACAATTGATCTGTTTAGTATTCCAACTGTGAATTAATATTTATTAATACTATTATTATTATTAATATCAATATTATTGGAACACAATAATAAGGGAAGATGTAAACGAAAACTGAAATCCGTTTCTATACAAAAGAAGAAAGAAAAAGTCAAGGAATAAATAAATGCATAATTTAGTTAAAAATAAAATAGTGAAAATTATTCAACATGCATGATTGTTAGTGTAATTAAAGTTACATATTGCAAAATGAGTTTTTTTTTAAAACATTTTCATGTAAAGTTGTATTGTTCTAAGCCTAAAAGGATGATTATAACTTTTGGACAAATGTATATATGTGTTTACATGTATACACGTATCTATTATACATATAAGTGTTGAGTTATGTTTTTGAGTAGATATATTTACCATCATCTCTTTGACTTTGGATCACTCATTGTCTGTTTGCATAAAAGAATGTCGGAAATCAATTCTTTCAACTTCATTTGTATCTGGTTTTATATTATCTCTGTCAACCAAACGATGTTAGTTTACGTAAGATATGCGAAATCAAGCTGAGAATTTATATTCATGTTACTTTCTCATCAGTTCCTTCATCATTTATAATAGAGTGAGGCAATAGACCTTTAGGGTGCAGGTATACTAGTATTGAGCACCTTTCCCAGATAAATTTGCCAAGTAAAAACACCACACAAAAAACTGCAACTTAATAGTTAGGAAAAATAAACATTGATAGTAATGATGGACGACTAATTCTAATGAGATAATGAAAATAAATTTAATGTTTCTAACTCTCAAACGTTAGTTTGCCAACGATATTCACTATAAGTTAGAAGAGATTGATGAGTTTTACGGTTACTATTATTGATCGATCTTAGTTAAACGACCACTAAAAACCAGGAGGGACTGAACAACTGTTACTTTCTTGTTTGAAACTTCGAAACAGTGCTCATCCATTCCCTTGCCCCGAGAGGGTCTCATTTAAGACTTCCAAGTTACGTAGCGAGCAATAGAACTTTAGACCACTGATCCGGCATCAATCAGTTCACAATAATGCGCAGTCACCCGATTGGTGGGTAACTGCCTCGTATTCAGTATAGCTAAACCTTACTGGTCATTAGAACTCTGAGGATTACCTCTGAAAATCAGTCAAGAATTGGTTAAAATTATACGTGTCAGCTCCGTAATTCAACAGTTAGGAGGTGGTCATGAAAGTTTTGAATTCAATCAGCAGAGGAGTTATAGATTTGTAGTGTTAAGAAGTTTCATACAAGAATGAAACAGATATTCAGTACTTCTTGGTTTCAAAGGTTGTTTGACTAAAATTAATCCGTGGTGTAAACCATGTAATAATATTCAACAATTAAAATTTAATTGTCAGTCGGATTTTATTAGTTAGCGACTAAATGATGAACAAGAAGTCAAAAAGTTATTGATTCCAGTTAATTAGAACTAAAAATTAAAAATGTTAACATAATCATACTAGTAGTATGCATTAACATAGAAACAAATTAATTTATTTACACTTATTTACAATTAATGAATTCAAATGTTAATTAAAAAGAACAAAATTTCCAAATAAAAAAGTATTATTATTACTTAACTGGAAATCTACTACTTAAACAAAAACTTCACTTAATAATATTAGTTTAGTACATAGAAATTACACTGAATTACTTTACAAGTAGTTTCTCAAGAACCTGAAGAAAAAAAACTTGCCACAATCTATTCATGAAAAAGAAACTCACTACTATCATTTGTACAACAAATATATAAGTCATATTAAATGCTTCTTTGAAAATTCTAACAAAAGCGATTATATATCATTCCACTAGGAACTTTAAATGTTTGCTCAATGTCAGTATTGAGTATAATCATTAAATTTTACATCATAGAGACATTATATCTCTTGACGCCTACACTATTCCTGATTAATCTTAAACCTTATTTTATTTGTCACTATAAGAATGTACACAGTTCATTAGTTTAAATAAAATTTAAACAAGTAGACCATAAAACAATCGTCCAAATATATTGTGATATACCTATCACAGTAAATTTTTTTGTTTCTTGATCTGTGTTATTTTTTCTGTAGTTGTATTTGAACATAATTACCCTGTAACGGGATAGAAATTCCCTTTTGCAGCAAGTTTCACTTTGAAGCATGAAGTAACAGTCCGTCTACTGAGAAAATATTGGTTCTCAACAACTGCATACTATGAAACATTTATCATTCCAAAATGTTCATGATTTTGTAGCTACCAATATCATAGTGTGCTTATATTCTTGTTATATTGCACATTAGAGATAACTTTGTTTTCACAAGACTGATGACTATTACAGTGTTTTGTTGTGATAAAAATGCTGTGTTCTAAAATGTTACAACCTATGATTAAATATTTAACTTGGATAACATACTTCATGTGAATAAAGTCTTTGTGCAAAAATGATTAACCCAAACTATGCATCAATCATATCTTTTGAAATCTTTTGCCTTTTTCTACATGTTACATTCCTATTTTCATCAACATGTCTTTAAAGTGGTGTGCATTCTGTAATTGTTTTCAGAATATAATTAAAACGATTTGTTAATACATAAAAAAGACATATTTACAGGTAATACCACTGTTAACATAAATTTCTTCAATACAATATTTCTTGTACAAGTTTAGCATGATATTAGTCCAACGTGATATTTAGTGTTCATTTGTATAGTTCAAGATGAAAGATTCATTTACATTAAAACTATTTCAGTCATGTATGACATTTGTTGATCTAATCTCCAGTAAAATCTGTACATAAGTAAAAATATTTGGTTAGTAAGTATTTATCATCAGGTATTTGAAGAGTGAATAAAATTTTCATCCGACATCCATCCTCGATTGCTTCATAACATGGTGCAAACCTCTGTTGTTTCCTAATTCAAGAACCATTATCCGTGATTACGCGAATTTACAGTAACATCAGCACAACAAAAGGAATAAACCAAAGAGATTAAAAGTTGGATTGATAAACATCTAGATTAGACCATAAAGTTTGAAATGAGAAAACGAAATCATAGAATGAAAAATATGAAATGATACATAACATCAAGTGTGTTCCCCTATGGAATCAAATCACTCAAACTAATAACGACACTACAATTCCATTAGCAATGGAGATGAGGTCAGTCAGTCAGCTACAACGTAGGACCAGGCACATATATGCATTGGTCCAAGTTGCAACACCTCATTAGCCCAACAAGATGAACATCAAATTTATAGAAGTAGTTAATCCAATGGTATTAATATATAAAAGAAAGATTGCGTATAAAGATATAATACAGGAAGAAAAAATTACTTCATATAAAAGTATAAAACAATTTTAATCTCACGGTTTAAGAGAAGACAAAGAGTATACACCAATGCCATTGTGATCAATTGTGAGCCATATCACCAAGAGTCTCTAGTCATTGGTTACGATAGTCACGCGGGGGTAACATTGTTTCGCTGACTATTCCGTAAGTAAATTGAACATATTTAACACACCATACAAACATTGCGGCATAAAAACCACTCTACTAATCATACTTATATAATATCAATTTGACAGACATTAAGGAGTCAGTTACTGTTATTACCTGAAGCAACGGTTGATGCTGAAATCCAATACTGTAATTTTTCCTCCAAATCTTTATGATTTAATAAGTACGGATTAATTCCTCGTAGTAAACAAAGCTAATAAGAACAAAGATCAACATAAAAAACGTCAAATCACAGTCATAAAAAAACCCTCTAAGAGAATAATTTTACATTAATTTCCAAGAGAATCAGACATTATCAAGGCTCTTTACAGCCTGAACAATGCACTCCAATCCTATGGCGTAACCATAAAGATACCATGAGCCATAATTAGAGGATCATAATACATCATAAGATCCCTTAGAAAATGAATTTGTTGTTTGTATATCAAAATGTAGAAATAACTTTAATGTTTATTTATTTATTTATTTGAACACATATATATTGGTACAGGATTGCGCCAAATATATATGCGCCACACAAAACAATGAGAATTTAAGAAGAAAAAGAAAAAAGTGGGGAACGTAAAAGAAAATTTTTAAAAACAACAATAACGAAGAGATTGGTGTAAGCTGATGTAATAATAATAGTAATAGTAGGGGAACAGGAGGGTACAATCAGAAGAAATCTTTCAGTTAAGGAAGATACAATCACGTTTTATGAAGAAAGTAAAAGAAGGTTACAGCAGGATCGCAACTGGCTTCTATTCTGAGCCATATCTAGTAACGTCTCTAGTCACTGTGTAGCACTATCTCTCGGACCCCAGCCAGGGAGTCGTGAAGGGCCAACACAAACCACCCCTTTGCAGCTTTCTTTCATATCACGACACCATGTCATATACTGACCACCTCTCCGCTTTCTCCAACCAGTCCCAGAGTCGGCAAGTAATGCACGACGAGGAATTCTCTAGGACGACATTCGTAGAACATGTCCAAGCCGCCAAAGTCGATGTTTCAAGATGGTGACACCAATTGAACTATCGTCTCCGCACCCGAACACACGATGCCGAACCTCTGCATTACTAACATGGTGCTGCCACTGCATGTTAGCAATCCTTCGGAGACAACGATAATCAAACACAGAGAGTCGTCTAACGTCCTCAACTCGGAGAGGCCAGGTTTCACAAGCATAGAGCAAAACTGCTCTCACCGACGCGTTGTAGATCCGACCTTTTACAGCCAGACTAACATCACGAAGGCGCCAAAGGTGGCCCAGATTGGCATAAGCCGCTCTGGCTTTCACTATACGTGCATTGATCTCATCACTCACGCCCCCACCAGCACTTATGCAGCTACCCAGATACACGAACTTCTCGACTACTTCTATCTGCTCACCATCCAGGGTGAGTACAGGATTAGAATCCTGCCAGTCTTGTAGAAGTACTTTGCACTTCGAAGGTGCAAAGCACATACCATACCTACGGACACTGATTGCCAACTGATTAAGTGCGGATTGCATGCCTTGGGCATTATCGCACAGTAAGACAATATCGTCCGCATACTCAAGGTCGAGAAGTCTTTCTCCAGGCAACAGATCCACACCACCATTACTTACATTCATCAGAGCTGTTTCCAGAATGTCATCGATGGCAAAGTTGAAGAGGAATGGTGAGATTGGGCAACCCTGCCTAACCCCACTGCTCGAATGGAACAATGGAGAGAGGTGGTTGTATGCCCTCACTCTGCCTGAGGTGTTTGTATAAAGGGCCTTTAGGATGTTAATAAACTTCTCAGGCACACCCTTCTTCAATAGACAATCCCAGAGAACAGTCCTGTCCAACGAATCGAAGGCAGCCCTGATGTCAAGAAACACTACGATTGTTGGCCTTTGATAAGTATGGCGGTGTTCTAACATTTGGCGGAGGGTGAAGATATGATCAATACATCCTCGACCAGAACGAAACCCAGCCTGCTCCTCGCGAGTCAATCTTTCTCGGGTTTTGAACAACCTACGAAGTATGACGGAAGCCAATAGCTTGGACGCAATCGGAAGTAGACTTATCCCCCGATAGTTGTTACAGGAACGACGTGAACCCTTTTTAAAGATAGGGACAACTATCGACTCATTCCATGACGTTGGTACACTCTCTAGTTCCCAAACCTTTGTAAACAACGTCGTCAATTCCTTAGTCAAAAAGTCACCACCATCTTTAAAAAGAGCCGGAGGTAAGTCATCTGGGCCAGGTGATTTGTAACGCTTCAAGAGTTGGAGTTCCTTGCGGACTTCCTCCTCATTTGGTGGATCAGTCGTCACCGGCCATGGAGGGCAGGACAGTCTGACCGATGTTGCCGGAGCAGCAGGCCAGTTGAACTGCCCTTCGAAAAATTCTGCCCATCGTCCAAGACGTCGATGGATGTTAGTGATTGGCATCCCATCATCCTCGCAGATTGTTTCACTCACACCAGACTTCTTGCTGCCAGTGGCTCGGATGAGTTGGAAGAGCTTCCGGTAGTTACCAGATGCAGCTGCTGCTTCCAGCTCATTAGCACGCTTCGACCACCAGGCTTCTCGGTCCTTACGCAAGCTTTGCCCAATTTCCTTACGTAACATCCTTCGTTTATGGTCAAACTCACGGTCACCCGGAGTAGACCGACGGGCTTCAATGAGTTGTAAGGAACCAGAAGAAACCCAGTGCTTAAAGCGGGACGTTTCGCAAACCCACAACTGACTGTTCCCGCCATTTTCATGGCGTCATGCAATTGCAACCAATGCTCATCTATACTTTTCGGTGGAGTGGTAGCTAGCCTAGAGGCTAGCTCGGTTCGATACTTACTTGCAACAGAAGTTGCAACCAGCTTGCTAACATCAATCCGTTGGTGGCGTCACTTCGTTGTCCACTGAAAAGTAAGGCAAGATTGGCGCAGACCAAGGCATGGTCAGAGTCCAGATAGGTACTCCAAAAGGAGCGGCAGTCTTGTACACAACCACGCCAGCGGTAGCTGATCGCGATGTGATCAATCTGAGTCCAGGCTTGAGATGCAGAGGGAGGACGCCAGGTGGCACATCGGCGATGACTGTGCCGAAAGTTAGTGCTAGCCAGAAACAGGTTGTGGTCTGTGCACAGTTGCAGTAGACGGTCCCCGTTATCTGACCTGCGACCAACGAGTCCCCATCGGCCACCTAAACGACTCTCTTCTGTGCCTAGACGCCCGACCTGAGCATTCAAGTCTCCGGCTAGTACTACAATATCTGTCGAACGCACTTTCTGGAGAAGAACAGATAACTGGTGGTAAAACTCATCCTTGATTGCATCCGGGCTGCAATCTGTCGGGGCATAGGCGGAGATGACGAAAAGACATCGTTTCTCACGCCGATTTCTTCTCACTTTGATGGAACTTTCTAATCTAACAGCACATAACCGACTGTTAATGGGGATCCAATCGACTAGTGCTGCCTCAGCTCTAGCGCTTAGTGCGACACCAACGCCAGCAAGACCAGACGAAGATGCCACAGGGTCCCCGGATAAGCGCACGTAAAACAAGCTTTTCGAAGCGACAGATGGAGATCGAATTTGTAGTACTTCGCCAGAGTCTTGAATACGGGTCTCGGATAGACAGCAGACATCGATATTAAGACTTTCCAAAGACATAGCCAGCCCTATCTGTTGTCCGACCTGCATAAATGTGCGAACGTTGAAGGCAGCCAGTTTGAATGGTGCACGTGGTTTCAGAAAAACTGCTTCAGTCCTCGTATTCGGTGGTAACATACAATTTTCAACTGGACAGTGACTCGAGAACGTTTAGATACAGTCGAATTTCCACCATAGACGAGCTGCTGTATAAGTCCAAAAAAATAAGTATAGACAGGGTAGGAATAAAAGAGGGTGAATAATGACGCAGTAAATAATAATGATAATAATAATAATAATAATAGCAATAATAATAATTGGATCATTTGAATGTTCGTCGAAGCAAGAGAATTAGTTTCCATGATCATAGACAGTTCAGTTCATTAATTGCGTGTGGGCTGCGATACTGCCCGGGTGCCCAGACCGAAGCAGGTGGTTATCTTAGGGGGCCACTCCCCGAGCCTTTGGCCTAAAGGTCTAACCCACAAGGCAGTGGAGCATCGTAAGGAAATGCAATCCCATGGTAGCCAATGACCAACGATTGGTTCATACGTCATTTGTTCCCACAGGATACTGGTCCCCATGTGCACCATTGATTTGGAATCCGGTTAAAGCGCCGGACATTCGCTTTTCGTCCTCACATTTTCGTAAACAACACCCCCGCCACGAAAAGGCAGTGAGTAGGACTTCCCTGGCAGAGGCTGTACACGCGCGGCCATGTGAGAGTACTTCGAGAGGGATGGCGAACCCACCCCGCTCTCGGCCATACCAGGGCATTTCGAGGCCAGGATTGATTAATAGTCGTCAACTATCTGCATCTTACTAAATCTTGATTGAAGAAAACTTAATCCATAAATTACTTCGAAAATTAATACAGTCCACATAAAAACTACCCCAATAATCTGAGCATAATTTTGACTTGAAGTTAAGTACTAGGGATATTCTTCAGAATAAGGAGAAATTCGTACGAACAAAATAGAAAATTCAGAAACACTTCATAGATAATGGGATTATTGGCAAAATAAATGTTCCTCCAGTTTATTAATGATATCGAAGTGTGATTTTCTAACCAAAGGTGTTACACACCTAAGATAAAAAGGTTGATGTCGTTAAAAATAGAACAAAACGATTAAACCATTTGTCTATGAGTCAGTTAACTAAAGTACATAAGTACTACAAACAATGAATAACTATTGCATACAAAGCATAAGTTAGTGATCTATTCAAGTCGTGGTGAGAATTTATGAGGGTACAACTAAATAATAAGTCAGAAGTAGTATAATACATTAATTCACTCACTGCCTTCTCGCTACGAGGGTATTGCTTACGAAATTGAAAGGATAAAATGCGAATGTCCAGTGTTTTAGCCGGGTCGGCGGATATGAAGGATCTATGAACGGGAGTCTGAAAACCCTGATTCCAAATCAATGGTGCACATGGGCTCCAGTATCCTGAGGGAACAAATGGTATGTGAACCTAATATTGATCATCGGCTACCATGGGATTGTATCTCCTAAAGTTTCTCCACTGCCTTATAGACTAGATCTCTAGGTCAAAGGACCCAAATGTGGCCTAAAAAACCAGCTATTTTGTTTTCGGCTCCCGAGCAGTATTCCAACTCACAAACTAATCGAATGATGAAGTGTGGCACATATATACTGCGTGCTTTTTTCTATCAATGTTCATGTGTTTAAATAACAGAATAAAAACATTCATTCAGAATCACCTAACTCATGAAATAAAATTAATTAAGGAAAATGTAACTAACACCAAAAATTGCAAAGCAATCTGTTTGAATATCTGGGTTACCTGTTCCTGTCATCTAGATATTTCAACAAGTTATACGTTTCCTTATTTGTTTTAACAGATCATTATGTCAATTAATTGCATAACTTATTCAGGTGCATTTATGAAATGTTTACGACCTTTCGCTGTACAAGTTACAGAAACGTACAATCGGAGACATCCTGATGTCTGAGAATATCCATTGAAAAGAATAAATATTATTCAGATGTCGACTTCTGAAATGCTGATATCTAACTATCGATTACTCAATATTTATCGAAAATATCGATCAAGAAATACGAAATGGAAACTCGCTGAAATACTTCGTGCTAAGAATTCTATATCATACAAAAAATTATAATATTGAATAAAGCCAATAATAAGTAAAAATAAGTAGTACTTAAAAAAACGATTAAGAAATGTTTCAAAAAATTATTCACAACAGAAAACTAACATAAAAAATAAATTAGCGTGTTTTTTTAACAAAATTCATTTCTAACTAAAGATTTACAAAGTACAATCTTAAAATTCACTAGGCATTGTTTTACTTGTTTCTTCTCATTGTTATTTAAGACTGCAATTGATCAGTCTCATGTTGGCAAATGTGAATCCTGTGTGGATTGCCTCGATAAAGCCTTAAGTCACAAGCATCTTAAACAAATATGGATAGTGGCGAGCAATAGAATCCAGTACGCGCGTTTTGTCCCATTTGGGACTCGTCAGCTGGATGTACTTGCATCCCAGAGTTGATGTTCAGATCCAGCTAACGAGTCCTAAATGGAACGAAACACGCGTCCTGGATTCCACTGTTAGCCATTACCCATCTTTGCCTACAATCTTCAACACCGAAACTTAAAATGTTTGTATTCTGTTTTTTTTTCTTCAAGATATCAATGCTGATAGACATTTATCGACACAATGAAAAATCAGTCTACTTTTAAAGATTAATTTTCCAAATTAAAAGCCTAATGTATGAGGGGGTGTATTTTTTTTACGGAAAACTTTTTTTTACAAGATCCGAGCATTTTTGGATACGTTTATAAAGAACTAAGAAACAGTTAATGAAAACGATTGTTCTTTAAAGTGTTTTAGATTGATATGAACTAATGTGAAAAATGACTCTTTTAATACTTCAAGTATCAATTTTGTTTTAATGATCAAATAAAGTGGGATATTAAACTATAAAATGGTGTAATTGTATCTGTTAATCGTTATCCATTTATAATAACCAATAATAAATTTGCCTAGTTATATATATTTCACTGTTTGAAATCATGAGTCAATTGAAGCTAGACCGGCTCAGTGGTCTAGTTGGTTAAGCGCCTGGCGCGAGACTGATAGGTACTAGGTTCGAATCTCGCGGAGTGCAAGATCGTGGGTGCGCACTGCTGAGGTGACCCATACTAGGACGAAACGGTCGTCCAGTGCTTCCAGGTTTTCCATAGTGGTCTAGCTTCAATTGACTCATGATTTCAACCAGTGGAATTTCTAAAATCTCCACAAAACCCATTCTGATTATATATATTTGTTTACTTTTCTAGAAGAAATAATAACATCTTTTAAATACTTACTTGTTTCAATTCAGAATTTTGTAAAATCGATAAAGAATTATCATTGAATAACTTATCTTTTTGCATACATTGGTCTTCAACATATAAGAAATATGCATGTTTCTTTAATACAAGTATACGAGATGTTTTTAGAATAGATTTTCTCTTGAATAAATCACTCCATAATAATGTATTCATCATCCAAATATATGAATATATAGAGAGACCGTTTAATCGACATAAAGCCGCCTAAAAAAATAATAATAACCCTAATTAATCTGATATGAAAACAATTATTTATAAGGACACATTGAATTAATATTGTCAGGAAGCGATTAAGATAGAGGTCAACAGAGTAGGTTTATAGGAGACAGGACTGATATTTCTATATATATTGTATGTTAAATTTCAGTCACTAAAATCCAAGTTTAAGTCTCTCCTTAGCTACTTCAGTTTGAGCAACCTAGTAGTATTATTACTCTTCAAAGTTATGGTATGGCTCATAACTAAGTAATTAATGAACAACTAAGCGTTTTTATAGGGCTGTATTTTTGTCAATCATCTAGTGTTTATAGTTATAGATATCTCCTAATATCCTTTGGACTTAGTGAGATATAAGTTACTATGAGAGGAACAATTGTTATTTGCTAACTGCTCGTAATGTTTAGTGGAGTCTGTTTTGTTTTAAATCGTATCAATTTATCTATATGTGTAAAAATTCTTTTTTTTCAAAGGAAACTTCTAAAGAAATTATTCGACAACCTGATATGAACTATAACAAGTGTAAATGAATTGTTAAAACCCAACAAGAAAAAATGGGTAGGCAAAAAAGACTCGACAAGTAAATCTTCATCAACACTAGAAAAATACATAGTTTACAATGGTAAAAACATAGTCCCTCATATATATATATATATATATATATATATATATATATATATATTGAGAGGTAAGTATCAGCTGAGCGGTGAAAATTTTGCCAATTAGACACACCTTAAACTATTTATTTTTTTATTGAATGCATTTGCTCTAAAAATGTTTAGCTAACAATATAAGTATAAAAAGATATGATTTAGATTGAGTTACAAACATTTGAATATAATTCAAAGTGCTTCCCCTTATATTGACAGATAAAATTAGTGATGTCAAAGAGAGCATTGAACAGTTGTTGTAACCTATACGGAAACTCACAAACAATATTACACGTTGATCACATTCTTCATAATTACACAAAGGTCCATATAATTTTATGTTTTAAAACATTCGGCGTGAACTTCAGCTTGGGTCAATTCGAAACATTTTTTTTATAAACTCATGATGCAATACAATATTCACTTAGCATATATAAAGGCAATTAGTAAGATGTTGAAATTACAATTAGTGTTTCTTCAGATTTACAAGACAAATCGGATATCTGTTTGAATATGATGTAAAACATGATACATTGAAATAAGAATTCACTGATCTGGTATTAGTGTAATGAATACTGTTCATAAGATTAGTATATACAGGAATGTCGCGTAGAAGTTACTACAGTCGATTCTCAAAGAGAAGAATCCCGGTATGTCAAAAAACGCGGCGTATGCAGAATATGTTAGAGGATAGAAGAGAAGCAGTAGAAGAAAGTCTAGGATCAACTTGGATTGCAGAACACGCAAAAAACATACAAATAAATGACTGAAGATTCAGTATACCTACTGTGTGAACATTCTGTTTATCTGTTCCCTGGAGCAATCTCTTATATAATGTCCAACCTCAACGCACTTAAAGCACCTACCATTCCTACCCACGTGTTGAAGGCTTTTACGCTAACTGACGAAAGTCAACTCAACAATGTTCAAGAAATTTAGTCTTACAAAATAATTCTGAATGATAATAATTTGGTATTTAATCTAGCTGCAAGATATTTTGATAAATTAAGATTAAAATATATTGATCACTCCTTAGTAATTATTATTTTTTTAATAGTTGAATTCATGAGTCAATGTAAGCTAGATCATCATAAAAAACCTGAAAGCATAGGATGGTCGTTTCGTCCTAGTATGGGACTCCTCAACATTTATTGCAATTACTGCAATTTTCACAAACCCAATTCTGACCAATAATTTTTAAAAAAAATATTTTACCATGGAATTAATATACCTAACAACAGATTAAAATATAGTGAACAAATAAATAAATAAATAATTTCATACTAAATAAATAATTGAAAGGTTAAATGAATTTCACTATAATATTATCTAATAAAGGAAGTTATGTCAATACAATACAGGAAATCAGACTTATACCGCATAGATAATGATTTTAAAAAAATAGGTCTTTATTATGTTAACATGAATTAATTCATTTATAAAATAGGATTGTATAAGGTCAATATGATAAATTGTTGATCCCTAGGTTAATTACATGCTCTCAAGTGTTATTACCATATATAAATATCAACGAATATAGTTTTATGTTTATCAATGTTTTAATTTAAGAAATTTATTCTTATTATATTCAATGTAAATCTGTAAGACAGGATATACAAAACGACTATTTAAAGTAATTACTTTTATTTAATATATTTTGATAATTATTAAAGTTTATTGTGGTTACTAATAATATTAATATCTATATTATTATTATTACTATTATTAATAAAGAGAATAATTTCATATCAACCACAATTGGATACTGTAGTTGTAGTGTGGGTTACTTATATTCATATCAGTAGTATATAACGGTGGTCAGGCATGGAATGTATTTCAGTAGAAGATCGATAAAGAAAGAACGAAAACGGAACGCAATTGATATGAAAAGGCCTGAACAATGAAATCTGAGACAATGGATTGATATTTTAAAAAGGAACAATGAAGTTTGAGATGATGGATTGATATTTCGCAAATTAAGGATTTACTATATGGTTCTCAGATTTTATTAAGATGTTCTATAATTTTGTGTCAAATACATTCGATTATCCCCACTCGTCTTCTTGTTCACTACTTAATAACCGAAGCTGCTACCTTGACGCGGTGGTCGGCTTGCCTATCGTGATGATCCAATCGAGCTATATTGGCTGGAACATATGTTCCTGTAGGTTCTACCATGCCAGGCAGGTCGATTGGAGAACGGTAAGACTAAAAGCAGCAACTCAAGGTCTGAGGGCGAAGTCGTACTGCTGACTGTGGAGGGGTGTGACAGCAGTAAGGTGTTTCCCTCGGACAACCAGCATGACAGCGATGCTGCCTTCCCACAAGGAGGGGTGGGGTTAGAAAAGGTCGACCCTAAAAATGTCACACCTCACCTTACCTCACGGATTTCCGTCTCCGGCGGTAAGGCCCTTTGAAGAACGGAGCTAACACGTTAAAAACCTTCCACAAAAAGGCCGTGCGCGACCGGCCTCAAGCAGTTGTCCCTTGGGCTCTGCGGTCACGCTCCCAGGTCGTCAAGACCAACACTAATCCAATTTCCTTTTCAGGTTCCTCAAGAAATACCCTTCCACGGTGTGGGCAGCCGGGAAGTGACATCAGCCCTCATACCCGTAACAGCACACGAGACCAAGATGGTCACATTCAAATCCTTCCTACACCTCCTAATACCTCTCTTATCTCCATGACTAACCCTCCTCACGTCTCTATCACCTCGCACCGCTAGGGCAAACGATTCGAGTACGCGGAACGCCATTCCTGGTCTCCTGAAACCACGCTCTAAACTACACGTAGGAGCTTTTAACGTACGAACACTGTGCCAAATAGGACAACAGGCTTCCTTAGCTAGGACTTTAGAATCTCGCGCCATCGATGTGTGCTGCGTCTCCGAAACGCGCATACAGGATCCGAGTAGCGTCATTCATTTGACCTCACCATGCCAAAATAAAGAACCGACTCGATTTACGCTTCGTGTATCTGGAAGCCCTGATTCTGCTTCCCGTGGCCTCGCCGGCGTAGGTATAGCATTGAGTCCTAGGGCAGAACTAGCTCTCTTAGAGTGGATCCCAGTAGACAGTCGTTTGTGCGCTGTCCGACTGAACGGAACAGTAAGGATCCGGAAAGATAGGGACACTCGTCGTTGCCTCTTCGTCGTCTCTGCCTATTCTCCCACTGACTGCAGCTCAGATGATGTAAAAGATGAGTTTTACAGAAAGCTCTCCGACCTTCTCCGAAAAGCTAGGCGCTCGGATGTAGTAATAGTGGCCGGTGACTTTAATGCTCAAGTAGGTAAACTAAGCGATAGGGAAAGACACCTAGGTGGATCTTATGGTGTCGTGGCTCAAAGAACAGATAATGGCGACCGTCTGTTGCAGCTATGCTCAGATAACCGCCTGTTCCTTGCAAATACTAACTTTAAGCATAAGGAAAAACATCTTTTAACATGGCGACCCCCTAATTCGTCCCAACGTTGGACCCAAATAGATCACATCGCTATCAGCCACCGATGGAGGGGCTCGATAGAAGACTGTCGCTCATTCTGGAGCACATGCCTAGATTCAGATCATGCTCTAGTGCGAGCGCGTATTTGTCTGCGTCTTACTGGACGTAGGAAAGACGCTGCAAGGAAACCTCTTAGGGCCTACTTAATGATAGTCAAGCTAAGAGTATATTTCAGGAACAACTAGGAAAACAGTTAGGCAGCCATGTATGTGATGCCCACCCCGATGCAGCATGGAATGATATCCGAAAAGCTGTGGAAACAGCAGTGATATCTGCTAGTAAGGTAAACCGGAAGGTTAGGGAGCAACACTGGATCTCAGCAGCATCTATCGCACTGATAGATGCTCGGAAACTCATTCCACCTGGCTCTGAACATAATGAAGAGCGGAGTCAGCTTAAGCGCAAGCTGACAAGAAGTCTACGCAATGATCGCGAACAGTGGTGGGTAGCGAAAGCAAGAGAGATGGAAAAGGCAGCGGCAATAGGTAATAGCAGACAATTGTTCAGACTCGTTAAGGAAACCGGAATTAGGAAACCGACCGTTAGCGAAACAATCTCAGAGAAAGATGGACATATTATTCATTCTCAATCCAGGAGATTGGATCGATGGGCAGAACACTTTAGGGATCAGTTCAACTGGCCTTCAGCCACACTTCGGTTTCCCACGATCTCCAGTCAACCTGAATGGCAAGTTAATGTAGGTCCTCCGTCTCTTTACGAAGTTGAAAAAGCCATAGGAAATCTGAAACGAGGGAGAGCAGCAGGCCCTGACAGGTTTACTCCTGAGATTTTTAAGGATGGTGGTCCAGTATTAGCAGTGAGATTAACTGAGGTCTT